ATATATATATATATTATAATAGATATCAATTTTTTCGAAATGTATATTTTTCTTTATATATTTGAGAGTTGATATTTTTATTTTTTTATATTTATTGTTAAAAGTATACGAAAATTTCTAAAGAAAATTTATTTAGCACGCTATTTAATCAAATATATTTCAGCGAATCATTTAATAATAAATTATCAGAGTTGATATATTTCTCTTTTATTATTTTGTTAATTTTTGTCTTACGTAGAAATTATATACTTTCAGCAATAATTTAGATGCATTGCCGGAATGGATGACTGAATTGCCAGCACTGCGCGTTCTTTTCGCATCGCACAACGCACTAACGGCTCTACCGGATAGATTGCTGTCACAGCCATCGAGACTGGAAGTTCTTCATTTGCCTCACAACCGATTACAAGCCCTACCACCGCCCAGAAGGCCATTGAACATCGTTCATTTGACTCTTCAGGGCAATATGTTAACCACGCTACCGACTAGCTTTTTCACCAATACTGAAAAGTAAGACATCAATCATCTTTCTCGCCGTTATAAATGGACTCATCTATTAAAATAATAATAATATTGTCTCTCTCATTTATATGCAACAATGATGAAGAAATGTGTGCATTATAAATTTGAAGAGAATCGATCTTAAGAGAAAATTAAAGTTTCCAACGTATGTATGTGTTAGGAAATTGTATTTACTACTAACTATCCGAAGTGAACTATTCTCGTTCCCTTCGTCGTAAACTGCGGCCAAGACTTTACGCCTCGCGCTTACGAACTCCTTTCCAGAATGAAAGTTTTGAACCTCTCCAACAATCGGCTCTCCGAACTACCGTATCGCGAGGAAGCCGGCAGGAGCCATCAGGGATCGCATACCTTGGAGAAATTATATGTCACGGCGAATTGCCTGACCGATACCGCCCTAGACGCTCTCGCAAAGTTCACATCCCTGAGAATTCTTCATATTGCTTACAACACCCTAGATACGTTACCGGAAAGGTGAGCATATACCTATTTTATGCGAAGGGAAAAACAACGATTTAATCCCATATTGAGATACAATAAAATACAAAACGTGTAATAAAAAAATTTATTTTTCAGTAAACTATCGTTTTATCTCTTTTTCGAATAACTTCATTTATATTAATTATCGATTATTGCTTTTCTCAATTAAATTATATAAGATTAAAGATAAGATTAATGTACATAAGATAAAAACTCGAATACTATTTTATCGCGCGTATGTTGCATGTTAACGTAAACATATTTAAAGCTATTAAGAGGATGCCGGATACCGACAGAATGCGAATATTAGTAGG